AAAATACAAAAAAACGTTTAAAAACTTTAAAATACAAATAAAACAAAAATAAATACTTTGAAAAACTTTAAAAGACAAAAAACTTGTAAATACTTTTAAATTTTGTTTAGAAAAAATAAGAACCAAATAAATGATTTTAAACAAAGTTAAAAACAAAAACAAATAAATACGTTTAAAAACTTTCGAATACAAAAGCCACAACTTCATTTTTAGATTTTGAATTATTGTTCCAGGAAGACGAAGATGAAGAAGACCTGGTTGGGGTTAGAAGGCAGAGTGCCATAGTGTTCGGGTCTGAGGGTAATGAAAGGGTTAGGGTTAGAGTTTCAGGGTCTTTAGTATATTCAGGGTTTGGGGTTAGAAGGCAGAGTGCCATAGTGTTCGGGTCTGAGGGTAATGAAAGGGTTAGGGTTAAAGTTTCAGGGTCTTTAGTATATTCAGGGTTTGGGGTTAGAAGGCAGAGTGCCATAGTATTAGGGATTTATTCCCGGAACTCGATTCCGCAATCGAATCATAATCAATGCAATCGTATATCCATCGCTGTATTCCCAAATACACTTATCTGGGAAGACGAATATAAAACAGCATATGAAATTGGAGGCACAACGTCAGGATTTTCGCACATGCGATCTGGGATTCGAGCATTCGTGAAACACATCCTGCATGACATAGGCAACATCGCATAAACCGCCCCATTGGGCAATGACCATTGTCACGAAGCGAGGACCATATCCCCGGGTTGGGCGGGCGGGTATAAAATTTGCCCATTCAAGGAGGCGCTCCCTCCCACCCACCCTTGATCAAGAATTGCAAGTCATAATATTCGTTATGCCAAGAGCATAAGAGACATCATGCAAAGGAACTTGCAAAAGAATGAATCAAAATAAGTGATTGAAAAACGGGATTGCGAAATCAAGTTTTTGGCCAATGCCAAAAAGCATCGTCCGGGTATAAAACATTAAGAGCTTCGCTCCGCTCCGTTCTAAATCTGCTTATTCCCGGAACTCGATTCCGCAATCGAATCATAACCAATGCAATCGTATATCCATCGCTGTATTCCCAAATACACTTATCTGGGAAGACGAATATAAAACAGCATATGAAATTGGAGGCACAACGTCAGGATTTTCGCACATGCGATCTGGGATTCGAGCATTCGTGAAACACATCCTGCATGACATAAGCAATATCGCATAAAACGCCCCATTGGGCAGTGACCATTGTCACGAAGCGAGGACCATATCCCCAAGTCAAGACGAGTGCAGTAATTCGCCCGTGGCAAAACAAGCAGGATGGTCCCGGATCGCATGTTCGCACATCGGAAAAATCCAGCAGCCCCTCGACGGGGGATCAGCGGGATTGGACTGAGAAGGCACACGAGCATACCACCCAATGCAAGGCCTGGCATCGGCCTTTTCAAGATGTATAAGCAAAGTCCTCCACAGCTCGTCCCTAGATGTGCAATTGATGGTAGCGGAGAGCACTCCCACGTGATCGATGAAGTAAAGCACCTTTCGATCGTCGAGGAGTCGACCCCAGACGAATCTCGCGAGCACTAAAGCATACAACTCAACAAGCCCTATAAGGTGCTTCTTGCCGCTCTCGGCCCATAGGTCGACCAGGGAGTCACTCAGCGTGACCCCGAAGTATCGGACCTTTACAGCCCCATTCCAAGAAGCATAAAGTACTCCCCCAACGGCGCAGAACGATCGAGCAGCACCAGGCTCAAATGCGCCATCAGTGTAAACAACAAGTGAAGGTCCAGAGCTTCCAACCTGTATGCGCCTGGGCTCGCCAGCATCCATGCGCATCTGCAAGACAGCAAAGGCCTCGCGGTCAGTAGAAGAAAGTAGATGAACGCCAGAGCCTCGCGAGAGCTTCCTAAGCGTGCTCAAAGCCAGTTTGCCCCTGCGGCCCATGATTTGGGAATCGGCATACTGAATCCTTCCAAACAAGCTGTCGGCTTCTCTGACCACCACCTGTCCGATAGGACTTTAGCGACCGACTCGGAAATTTCGCGAGCCCTGTCAGGCTTGTTGGCAACAGTGACGCAAGAAAAATCCTTAGCCCTAAGGTCCAAGCGAACCCCCAAGAGATCGGCCACCGAAGAAAAAGGCAACTCCTTGTCCTCTGAGCAGATCACGCCCAGGAGGCGCATGAGCTTGCGGATCGTCTTCTCGGTGTTGGCCGAAAGCATACTCACATCGAGAACTGGGAAGTCGTCATAATAGTTACAGGCCAGGCACTCCAGCTCAATAAGGATGCGGTGAATCAAGCGGGCAACGCGATTGAACTGCCCTACGCTCGCGAGCGAGCCGAAGGGTAGAGTATGTGAAATGAAACCGACGGCTTGCCCGTCGGAGGGCCGCCGGAGGCTGACCACACACCTCTTGCTGTCACATGGCCTTATAGCATACTGTTTGTAAGCAGACTTCAAATCCACGCACTTCAAGACTGGGCGCGCGGACTCAGGCCGCGTGCGCCACACGGTATGCAACGGGCCGCTGATCACTTCACCAGAAGAAAGACGAAGGTTGACAAATCCTCGATCAACGATGGATTGCATGAGCCTCGATGTTATCCAAAGGAGTTCGTCCATCGCACGCAGGTCAATCTTTTCTGCCACTTCCCAGGACGAGTTGACACTGTTCTCGGACAAATCGTCAATGCACCTCAGCTTCCCTCGTTGGAAAATCGCGAACCTCCGTACAGGTATCCAGTGCGGACCCAAAATCTCAGTGAGCTCCTGGTAGCTATATGGGCCGCTCAGCCAGGACTTCTGATCCCTCTCAGCAAGAGTTTAGCTCCAAAGCTCGGCATCGGAATCCTCAGATTTTGCAGATGAGATTTTGGCCCACAGGGCCGGTCGCAAGAATTTCGATCTTTGATCAAGCTCTTCCTCAGTGAACTCCGAAGGCTTAAAGGATGGTGCGAAAACCCCCGTGACAGGCGCGGAACCCACTATGCCGAACCCTTCCTTAAGGTCCTTAAAAAGATCTTCGTCTGGCCAGGCAAGGGATTTGGCGATACGATCCAGCAACAGCAACCTTTTGCCAGAAAGGACCGCACCAACTCTGGGATCAAGCGAAGCATGAAGAGCTCTCTCAGGCTCGGCCAGTTCATCGGCCCACGCAGACTACTTGGTAAGTAGGTCAAGCCGGCGTCGCATGACGGGCAAGGGACCGTCGATAAGCAGCCGCCCCAAATTCCTGATGAGACCATCAGGCACGTGTGCAAAAGCGTCGAACGGATGCTCGAGGCGCAAGCTGGCAGCAACGAACTCGTCAGGAGTCCGAAACACGCCAAACGTGGCGGTGGCAGGGGTACTCGGCAAAGGGGAGAGGGACTTAGGCTTAAGAGAACCACCCCCAACAAAAACCGAGCCTAAGGAGCCTAGCACCCTTGGGAACGGACTGCAACGCGGTTTGCAGGCACTTTTTGTCATCCAGCTGCAGCTGGGAGCAATCAGCGACGTGCACGCTGACCATGTACTTGAACTCGGGCATAATCGGCTGCATTTTTGTGAGCTTAGCTTGTTTGTGCACGGCAGGATTAGCATCTGGCAACCCCGATTGGGGGGAAACAAGTAAGTCCTCACCAGCCGCCTGCAAGCGCAGACTTTCGGCAAGGTGCTCCGCATACACCTTGCCGAGAACAAAGGCCTTGTCAGGGCAAGAGCAATAGCAAGCATGCAAATCAGAACAGGCCAGAACAGTGGAGGCCACGCGAACAATCTTGCAACCGAGGCCGAGTGAGCATCCAGGCCCAACGCACGAAGGCAAAGAGTCACTGAACGGCGATCGTTGCCAAGCCGAGTTATCGGCTGGCCGCAAACGGTGAGTCCAATCTGTAGCTGTAGCACGTGAGAAACAAAAGATGTCTTATGATCAAGTTCTGCAGAATTAAGGGTCTGATCAAGACACATGTGGACATGATAGACCCGGTGAGCCATAACAAGGCGCCGCAAATATTGCCAAGTGGATTGTCGTTCGGGCCTGAGCTGCAACACCTTATGCTTGACAGGGCCCGCAGACTGGGACCCATAACAGAAAGTTTTAAACCCAATCTCGGCACACGCATGGCCCACGGCACCTCGTCCGCAGAAGAGGTCGAGGACAACAAGCCGGGAAGGCTTCAGCACTTTCAGGGGCTCATGAGTGACAGAGCTCCTGATGTCAGGTAGAGGGCCCACTGGAGACGCGGGCATCACAGCATCAGCGCTGGGAAGGGCGAAACCATAGGACTGGAGCTGAGACAACATCTCAGAATCGGAATCGCAAACGCCCTTGGTGCTGAAAGCTATGAGCATAACCCGACGACCCTGAAAAGGCGCCACGGCGTGGCAGCCGTCGCGAGCATTGAAAGCCCAGGCACCCCGACTGAAGTCGAGGTCGCAATCACCGGCTCGCAGTGAGCCACCTGAAAAGTGCGTCAGAGGTATCAAGAGATTCAAAGTCGGGCCGTTGTTGGGATCAGCGTGAGGTTGACTTTCAACCGAGTCAGAGATCAACAGACTTGAAAATTTGTGCGTCGGAAGGACATGCAGGACGCAAGCACACAAGTATCGGCAAACATTGGGATAAATTCGGATGAAATGCCGCAAACCTTTGATAGGACCGTGAGAATACGACCCCTCCGCGAAGACTGAGCCTTTGGCTTGAGAAAGTCGTGTGATATCAGCCTTTGGCAGAAGGTCGAAGAGAGAAAGCACACTAGCTGCATCGAACAAGAGTTTGCGGCGCAAATCAGAGGCAAGGGCTTCAGGGCCTCCAAGTCGAGGCGCCTTGCCCGGCGACTCACGGTCGCTGACATCGGACTTCCTTTTAGGAGGATCCGCGGTGGCACAATCACGCGCTCCAACAGAAGGTTCACCGCCCACGGGCGAACAGGCATCATGCATTCTCTCATTGAGTGAAGCACAAGCAGCAACCAATGTTGCAGCAGGCCCCACAGGGCAAGGCATTGCATGGTCCAGCTCATTAGCTGAACTCAGGGATTGAGACTCCAATGAGTCAAGCTGGGGACATTCCCAGCCACCTGCAGTCGCATCGACCACACTCGATAGTCACTCCTTCTTGGGGAAGTTAGCAGCAGTATGGCCGCTCTGACGATATCGGGCACATATATGTATCCCTTTCTCACATCTGCCGCTTTTGACAGCCCGGCTGCATCCATTGATGTTGTGATCGAAGCATATGGGTTCGCCAGCATTTGTCGAACTATAGCAGCCCACAAGCGGCTTAGGCAGCACGCCCTTCCCCTTGGCCCGTCCTTTACCCGCTTTGCCTCGGCCTTTTCCCTCTCGAGTGTATGGGCTCGGCCTCTCGCGAGAGACCCACGGACCCGGAGGCACATCAGAAGAGGAGGAGGCATTTCCAGGCAGGGATTGCAACAGGACTGCCACATCACTCAGATCCATCACCAAAGGAATCAGGCCATCCAAGGGGCGGCCGGCTGATGTGGCCTGGATTCCTGTACGACAGCGGTCCTGCAACTCCGAGAAAAGCTTCTGATCGGTCCGCAAGAGCTGCTTGAAGCTGGGCCGGACATGACCTGCTGGCACCTCCTGCATCCGCGCCCTAAGCAACTTCTGATGCCAGACATCGATGACAGCATATTCAACAACATTGGCTTGGTCCAGGGCAAGGGCTCTGCGCTGTAAAGCCTGAAGAAGATGCACCTCGGAGTCGACCTGACACTTGTCATCTGGGGCCTTCGACTCAAGCTTCAAGGTCTTGCCCTGAGCATCGAGTGTGAATCGAGTGTCCTTTTTGGCATCGCCTTGAACCTCGGCAAGCCGACTAGTGCACTTCTCCCAGGCCACGTAGCGCAAAGTGTTCGACTCATAAATATTCACGCAGAGATCAACCAAGGCCTGACTTGGTTCAGTCTCGTCTTTTATGTTGATCCCGGTTAACTTCTTCACCTGTCGCGTGTAGCGCTCCTCACGCTCAGGCGCGCTGAGAGACCGACTGGGAGCGTCTTCAGTGCGCTCAATGGCCTGTCTAAACTCGGTGGTGACTATGGCGTAAGCCTGCTGGAAAAGAGCTCTGAAGCACGCCTGAGCAGCTAAGTCAGCACTGGTGTCCCTTTTGACTAGAGCATCCAAAGCCGCAATCAAAGGCTTCTCATCGGCTTGTCCCGGAGTGAAGGAGCTGACAAATGCCAGCTGTTTCAGATTCTTCAGTCCAGCCAACACATTAGTCTGGTCAGCAGCCGACAGGCCCGAGGTCCTGACCTTGTCGCTGAAGACAGCTTCGGACTCTGAGTACGAGGCCGCCATGGCACGACCCAAGCACTCAGCTACAGGTCCTAAGAAGAGCATGGATCGTCTCAGGTGCACGGTTGCAAATCGCACAGCATCAAGACAGAAGCTCCTCACATACCATGCAAGCCGGAAGCATTCACCGGTAGCACAACCGCTCAAGTTGCAATGACCTCTCGCCGATCTCGCGTGAAACTCAAGGCCCGTCCTGGTCAGGACAGCATTGCCTGCAAAGGGGAAATAAAACATTAGGCACAGCCGTCTGGATGTAGCTAGTTGACGGCTTGCGACCGCAAACAAAGCGATCACCTTCATCACTGCTGGCCATCAAATGAATGACCCTCGTAGTCTTATGCTTGAAGACGGGACCCTCGCCGATCAGATCACGAAGACCCGGCCGAGGCTCCCAGGAAGCCAGAGCATCACAGGCCTTCTCGCCCTCATCGTGATCCGGAGCCTCCTCGTCTTCACTTCCACTGGAAGAACTGTCAAGCTCTTCTTGCTCCGGAGCATTGGGATCGAAGCCTGCATCCTCTCGACCCTTGCGACTGGGAAAATATCCCGAGCGCGTGCTGTCAGGCCGGAAGTGATCCAATGCCACAGCACTCACAACGGATCCAAGCTGCCGCAATGGGCCGCTCAGCGTGTCCCTGGCATATACCAACTCCGTTCCACAGTGAGTGCTGTGGTAGCCCAAAATGGCCCTCACGCCTTGTTCAGTTCCATATTTAGCAAGCCAGCTCAACAAGGTCCTCTTTAAGCTGTGCGTTCCAAGCTTTCTGATGTCAGCAGAATCACCGAGCTCGCGCCTCAAAAGTTCCCGCAAAATCCTCGCAGCATGCTCGGCCGAGATGGGCAGCAGACTGAACCCGCCGCCAGTGACAGGCGACGACAACAACGGATAACCCTCTCGAAGGGTCACCCCCTGTTCCTTCATGAGCTTGTATCACGCAGTCCCCCAAGACTCATCAAGCAGTCCATTAATAGGAGCAACCATTGGGAGGAATCTCGTTTTTCTTTCCAGAGTATACGACGTCTTGGACCTCGTAACAGAGGCCTCCAGGAACCCATAAGGCCCGTCGTCGCTCTCGGTGACATCAAGCATGAGGTTATCCGAGGCTTGGGCATCGGAGAACCGGGCCCGAGCGTACAAAGTATAGCAGAAAAATCCAGCACAATGTCTGTCGAAGCCGCTGTATTCTTCAATAGTTCCTCCAATCACTATCTTCTCAAGAGTCCTCACATGCAGCGCTGAAAGCGCCGGCTTCTGGACAGCTTTCCTTTTTTCAAGGTACCTGGTTTTGGCTACCCCTTGTATCCTGCCACTGATGGTCACATGCAGATCGAGGCCCAAGACATGAGCAGCGAAATTCAGTGACTCAAGGAAGCTCCTTCCAAAGGTTGCCGCCGCCGTCCGACAATACTGATCCATGAATACATATAATACGCTCTCAGTCAAAGGAAAAGCATCAAGACCAGCAGATTTGGTAAACTTTATATAACGCATCATCGGTCCCACTCTCGAGTGCAGAGTAGCGCTCGCCTTGCCCGCAAAGCAGTCCTTCAGCGTCTGAACCAGATCTGCCTTGCGTCCCGCACTGGCGTCGCCACTGACTCCCCTGTAGCAATCAAAGTGCTCGCCGTGAGCCATAAGAAGAGCCTCCCATTTTGCCACTGCAGCCCGCCTGTTATCAGTCAATTTCTCCTCCCAACTAGGCCCCTTCGTAGCCGGCAGCTTGCCCAATACTTTAACAGCCACAGAAGTTGTAACAGCTCCTGCAGGAGACGAACTTGGGGCAGGCAGCACTTGCGCAGCTACCTGAGGCCTGCCGACACTCGGGAAGGGAGACGAGAAAGCTGATCGAGGCGCCAGGATATCGCCCCTCTCCCAGGGCTGCTTCTCAGATGTAGTGGTGGAAACACGGACAGCATAAATCAAGTGATCATCCAAAGCACTGCTGTCCCTCTTCCTTCTCAGGTGACCAGAAAGGTCAGCATCCATGGACCGGGCCCTCTAAGAGAAAATATCAAAGTTTCGTTCCAAGGGCCCGTTAGAACCTGTTCAAAGTAGCACCCCCAGGCCATGCAAAATTTGCCCATTCAAGGAGGCGCTCCCTCCCACCCTTGATCAAGAATTGCAAGTCACAACATTCGTTATGCCAAGAGCATAAGAGACATCATGCAAAGGAACTTGCAAAAGAATGGTTCAAACCAAGTGATTGAAAAACGGGATTGCGAAATCAAGTTTTTGGCCAATGCCAAAAAGCATCGTCCGGGTATAAAACATTAAGAACTTCGCTCCGCTCCGTTCTAAATCTGCTTGAGGGTAATGAAAGGGTTAGGGTTAGAGTTTCAGGGTGGTGTGGTTCTTGGGTTTAGGGATGCACAAATCGCGTGAAGTGCCTACGAACTGCTGGATGTTGCGCTTTTCTGCATTGACCACACTGTCAAGCGAATCACGTGCAGGCGAAGCAGGGTACAGCTGGGTGACGCGATAACGTCTGGCACTCTGCCTTCCCAGCTGCTGGCACTCTGCCTTCCCGCCTCAAGATTACTTAGCCAGAAACCCAGGGGCTTCCTTTTGGACCCAATTTGGAATTCATCCCCAACTTTGCACGAAGCTGGTCGATCAAAGGTATTGCTCTAGCATCAAGGTCAAGAAGTTCCCCCGGACTACCGAGACGGATGGCAACCAGTGAGAGGTTTTTCATCTGAAGGACAAACTGCCGTTGTTGTTCATCTTCGTATTCCAAATATAAATAAAATCATAAACGAGAGAAACGAGCGGCAATTCCAGCGGTTCTTCTCCTTTATCCATCTGATAATACTGCGGGAAGGGGCCTTCGTACTGTCGAAGAAGCCTGAAGCCTCCTGTAATGCGGAAGCCAATAAGTGGCCAGTAACGCAGGTAGCGAACCATAATTTCCCAAGGCACGTCATAAACTTCCTTCCATCTCTCAGCTGATTTCTACTGGGCAGGCTTTTTGTCCAATTTTTCGCAAACGGTTTTGATCAAGATTGGGGAGAGCTCGCCTCTGAAGAAACACTCTCCTCGTTCGATCGGGGCGAATTGCATTGCTCTGGACGGCTACTGTTCAGTCACAAGCACGCACGGCTTCAAACCACATGTGCTAGTTTGCGCGGCTTCCGGGTTGCGGCACTCGAAATGGTTGTCCATGTGCTTGCACGTGACAAATTCCACATGTGTGAAAATGCAAACATATTTTCGCAATCCGTCTTCCCCAAGCAGAAAACACACAGTCTCTCGGACACACTCCAATCTAGCAGGACCCGCTGCCATCAATGCAAGCACACAGACAGACACACAACTTTTCTTTGCAGCACAGGATGAATCCTCTAGTTGTTGCCAGGCCTCCTGCTCGGGCCACAACAGGGCCTATGGTCAATGACGTCTTGTCTGGCCTGCGCTTCTGTCATCGTGGAAGCCCTGCGTTTCCAGTGATAGGGTATATGAGGTGGTTCCACACGCCTTCAACGCCAGACACACATTGGTTCATGTAATATGACACAACACACAGCAGATCAGGCAACCACATCGAAGCTATAACAAATGTTCCGAATCTTTCCAAGAGACCGCCGTCTGTCACACGAACTCGGAGAAACCAAATTGCTCTCTCAGTGCCACCAGCCACCAGGATTCGGGTCGTACTTCATCTCACCAGCGATCTTGGGACACTCCGGGCATTGAACAGGTGTCCATACCCCTTGGTAGTCAACACGGTTCGGCTGCCGCTGATGTTGGGGGCCACGGGGTACATACACCCGTGGCTCGAGTGCTGGGATAGGCACTGCAGGCACCTCCGGCATCTCAGCAGGAGGGGCTGGCACTCTGCCTTCCTCGGGCTCCACGTGATGATCAGGCTCTGGGATAGGGATTGCAGCAGGCACCTCCGGCATCTCAGCAGGAGGGGTTGGCACTCTGCCTTCCTCGGCCTCCACGTGATTATCAGGCTCCTCTCTGGGTGCTGGAACAGGGATTGCAGAAGGCTCCACCTTCACCTCAGCAGGAGGTGCTGGCACTCTGCCTTCTGTTGCCTCTTGACCACTTTCATCAGGAGCCGCGGGTTGCTTCCTGGGCAACATACGTGGGCGACAAATCTTTCTCTTGGTTTTCCGTTTGGCCTGTGGCTTGACCTTTGCTTTGGTCTTTGCTTTGGCCTTGCCCTTTGCCTTGGCCTTTGCTTGCTGCGTCTTGATGGCCTGCCAGGTTTGTTGCACCCTTTTGATTCTGCGTTTTCTGACTGCGTCTGAGACCATTTTAAATTCCTGTTTGTCCTCAGTAAGCAGGTCGTCAAGAACCAGCTCATCAACAAAGTCCCCCATGATAATATCATCCTCATCCTCATCCTCTGTTGAATCTTTGGCTGTCGAATACATAGCCTCAATTTTGCGCATGAAATCCTCATCTTCCGGAAGGAGATGAGAAGCGATCAGGCTCATGAGCTTTGGACGGCGCATTCGTTGCAGCTCCTTTCGCTTTCTTTCGTCTTCATTTCCAGTCTGGGAGATCACATGCTCGGCGAGATTCTGGCAGTCTGCGAGAGTCCGACATGCTTGTGACATTTCCCTCAATCGAATCAGCAACAACAAGCACAGCAAAACTTATATAAGTTTATTGTACTATTTACTGTATGGATCGACAGTTGACAGAATCCTAAATGAAAACATGTCACTTGGGATGCTGCAACATATAGGATAGAAGTGATACTGAGCTTGTAGCACAACGACGGAGGCAAATGAAGCCATTCCAGAAAACTGCCTCTGTTTCGAGGACTTCCCAATACTGGGGCTCATACAAATGAATCCAGCAGGCCTTGACGCTGTCACCAGCCGGGCACTCTGCCTTCAAAACAAAATATATCTCTCCTGTCGACTGGTCCTCATGCTGGACCACTGGCCACATGAGAGCAGCCCAGGTTTTTGCCCCAAAAGAGAGATAGCATGTCAAATCCAAGACATGGTTCAAGATCTTCAAAGGGGCTGCAAGGCTGCTAAACTTCCCAGCACGCAAGGGAACCTGCTGAGATGCCAGTCTTGCATCATTGTAGTGAATTAGCCATGACCCACGCAGCTGACGCTCGGCCGAGTGTCTCTTCTGATAGGGTGTTCCCATGTCTTGCGTCCACAGCAACAACCAAAGGAGATAAGCCAGCTAAGAGCTGTGATATCACAAGCATGAGATAGCCTACAGGCCTACAGGCGACAAATGCATCTTGAGGCGAAGCCCAGGACGCAAAGGCCCTCACAGGGAGGGACGGGTGGGTGAAAAACGTAAAGCTCCCACATGTCTGCTGCAACAACATGTGCGAAGCTACTGCTGAGCAAAGCGGCTGTAGCACTGTAAAATCAACAAGCATTCAAAAGTACCAAAGCGACATAGCTCTGTTGTAAACAGCTTTGAGTAAACACAAATACCGTTCACAACCAGAAGCTACAGCCGCTATATACAGCAGGGCACAAACTGTGATTGTTCAGGTTCGGCTACGCACTCACAGAAAGAACGGACTCCTTCCTTTTACGTGGTGGTCGAACGAAGCAGTTGCGAAGTCTGAAGCAAGCAAGCTAGAGTTCGAAGCATAAGTCGCCAAGTATGAAACTACCGCGGGAAAGGAAGGAGACCGAATGCTTTCCATCCGGCCAAAGTAAAGACGTGTTCGGTTGACTGGAATGCCGCAAGCCAGCAAGGCCAACCTTTAGAGTTACAAGGCTGAAGTTGACAACACTATGACGACACAGCGTGACTAAGGAGCTCATCGCCCAACAAGCGGTGTCAGGCACGATCCCAGGAAACTGAACCGTGACTGACAGATCTACTCGGCGAAAAGTCGAAAAGAGCCGCATGTTTGAAGTGTGTCGATTCTGAATGCCCACTTTCCATGCCTCCTGAGCACGCCCGGCTGGAAAATGTGGCCCTCACCGACGGGGGAAGCAAAGCGACCGCGCGCCGCCGGCGGTACCACGAAGCAGGGTCAAAAGCGCTACATTTTTTCCTCTTGCCTGTGATGTTGGACAGCCCACACTCACGGGGGAAGCAAGGCGACCGCGCGCCGCAAGCGGTACTGCCCCACAGACCTTTTTTTTTTTGCACGGTAGAAGCAACGTGAAGACTGAAGCATACCAGAAAGGTTCAGATCTGTCTCAACAGTGCGCCATGCGCAAGATTCAAATAGCCCCGGTAGGAAACGCATCAGCTCGCAGCCGCAGCAGCAGCAGCAGCAGCAGCAAGCTGCAAGCTGTAGCAACTTGTACCATTGTACCGCTTGGTACTGTTAATTAAGCAAATCGTCAGCTCGAAGCAGCAGGCTGCAAAACCTTGAACAGCTTGGTACTGCTAAGCAAATCGAAGCTCGCACCAGCAACAGCCGAACTTTGCACCGCATGGTCTTCGTGATTTACAAAACTGCCTATATCTAGAAGGGAAAACGTATGCGGAATATGTCCCGCAGTATGTTCGCAATATGTGAGACGAGCAAAATTTGCAATCATAAGAACATCAAACTTATTCGCAAGAATATGCTCATCACTCAAGGAGTTGTGCAAACACTCGGACAGTCTTCTTTTTGCGCGAGCAACGGAACAGGGGTGATCCAAAAGCATGCAAACCGCCTACGTCCGTGGTAACAACGCCCTCGCAAACGAGACGAATCTCAAGGGCACCACCGGACCCGTTTGCCCCCCCAGGGTGGGTGGGCGGGAAAACGTTCAATGTTGCAGCTGTCTCCGGAGCCACAACTGCCGGCTTGAATCAATCATCAGAAGTTGGATACACCGACAGATGCACGAGACAGTCAAACTTCCATCAAATTAAAAGCAGTTCAAATACCTAAAAAGGACGCCGACTACTTTTCCAAAATGAATCATTCGCTCCTCGAGATCGCCAACTCACACAGCATGACAGCTCAACGTGAGGAAGAAAGTCAATGCCTCACAACATGCAAAATGTTCGACGTGAGAGCACAAAAGTACTTTGGCAGTTTTGCGTCGCTGTGTTAGCGACTATAAATCAAAGACAACATGATCACATTCGTGAAATAGTCGTCTTCGTGATTTACAAAACTGCCTATATCTAGAAGGGAAAACGTATGCGGAATATGTCCCGCAGTATGTTCGCAATATGTGAGACGAGCAAAATTTGCAATCATAAGAACATCAAACTTATTCGCAAGAATATGCTCATCACTCAAGGAGTTGTGCAAACACTCGGACAGTCTTCTTTTTGCGCGAGCAACGGAACAGGGGTGATCCAAAAGCATGCAAACCGCCTACGTCCGTGGTAACAACGCCCTCGCAAACGAGACGAATCTCAAGGGCACCACCGGACCCGTTTGCCCCCCTTTGCAGACGTCCGAAGCTCACGAGAAGTGAAAGGCGGGAACAGGGCCCTTGAAGTGGCACGCCAAGAGGCTCCAAGGCAGAGCGCTGGTATCCGAGCACCGCTGAGCAGCGATTTTCACAATACTGTCAATGTTGATGACACGCCCTCCTACCATCCTGGCTGCAGCCGCACACTCGCCGCGACTGGGAAGGTCTGCGACGTTAGATGCCGATGGCACACGCTCAATCCAAGTGATAAGTTGGTCTCTGCACTCGCTTGCATAAAACGCGTGAGCCAGCGCCAATAGCGCTCTCACGGGGCTGCTACCGCGGATCATGCAATATCGTGCGGACTCGTTATCAACGAAGAAAAAGGCCCTACGGCCCTTTGCGAAGGTTGCCGCATAATCCCTTGCAATCACCATAGCAAACGCTTCGGCCTGAGCGATAATCTGATCCTCTGTGTCCTGGTGCCACAGATCAATCAAGGAAGAAGGGATTTGACCCCCAGCAACTTCGCGCCTACCCGAGTCGGGATCAAGAACCACTAAACCCCAAGTAGCAACCCCTTGCTCATAGGCGGCGTCAGTGAAAATCACGAGGGGCCGTGAGCCCCCTTTCAAGCACATCGACTTTGGCACAAGAGCCTCGAGACAACACTCAAGGTAACCTCCCAGTTGCCTGATCTCGTCTCGCGTCCAGGCTCGGTTGGAGTAGACTAGGTTCGAAAGTGCACGGCAAACAAGCTTGAGTGATCTACCTGACGCAAAGCCGACCATGAAGTTGAGCTGCCCCTGCAAAGACATGGCCTCTGCTCGCGAGAGTTCGCCACTTGCGCACATCTGTTGTGCGACTAGCAGAAGCTTTGCAACTCTCGATGGTTTGTTCTCCAGGGCGATGCTGCCAAGATGAAGAGAGTCAAGAGAAAGCTGGACCCCCAACAAGTTGAACTGGCTTGCGAACGGCTTGTCCTTATCGCTGTCACGGCTGTACCTCCACCCGAGAGTGTCAAGCAGCGCCTCAATTGAAACAGAGCATAGCCTGGCGGTCAGTGCCGGTTCAATTAAGGGAAAATCATCATAAAACACGCCGCCAATAACACCACAAAGAGTGGTTGCAAGATGAAGTAAGCTACGACTAATGCGGTTAAAGCTGTATACAGCCGCGCATGCCCCGAACGGCAGGGAGTTACTGACGAAGAAGCGAAAAGCATTCGTGAGCGGCTCCCGAACGAGGAGTACCGCCAGCCTAAGGCTCTGTGACGCCAAAGGGACCTGCTTATAAGCCTTTTCCAAATCGAGACACCGCCCTACCCATGCGCAGTCTCGCCCAAAATCCGGGCTGAGTTTCCCTCGAAGTTGTTCTCCGTTTCTGAGGAACACCACAACTACTCCTTTCTCGTCTACAGCAGTGCAAATGAAACGGCACAAGGTAATGAAGAAGTCGACGTCGTGCAAACGCAGGCGATCAAGGGAATGAAAGGCTGCGTTGATGCCACTTTCTCGAAAATCATCAATGGGCCGGAACTTCGGATTCTCCGCACTACCTTGGACGACAAGGAACCTTCGGGTGCAGCAGACGGCTTCTTCACCAAGCGCTGCCCGAACTTGTTCTTCCGACTGGAATGGCCCTTTGAGAAAACCCTTATCAACCTCCTGCATAGTGCATTCCCAAAGCTTGCTCGTAAGATCGCCCGAGTCGCCGACATCAGGCGACTTCTGAAGCGCGTGATTACGCCAAACAGATGAGTCCAGGAGATCTTGCACTGAAGAAGTCGCGGGGACCTCTTTCCACTCGAACAGAGGCGACTTGGTCGGTTTGCCGACTAGGTCGACGCCCTCCATGAGCTCACTGACCGAAACATCTGGGAAACCAGTTTCTTGCAACAGCTTTCTCCACAGCAGTATGCGTTTGCCTTTCAAGACCTCCTGAGCATGCTGTGGTAACGAAGTTTGAAACCTTGCTTCCTCCACTGAGAGCTCCTTCGCCATCTGATTCACCTTCTTTATGGCATTGATGCGTTTCTGAGCAACAGACGAAAGGCCTTTGGTAAGAAGATCGAAAATGTTTCTTCTCGTGCTGTCGTCGATCGCTGCTGCGTCGTCGAAGGGATGATCAAGCTTAAGGGCCTTGTGGGTGAACTCCTGCTTTGTGTGAAAGATGCCGAAAGTTGAGCAGCTTCCGTCGCTGCCCCCGTCACGTACAAGCTCGCGAAACTCACCCTGGGTGGGCCTAGAATCCCGGAACTCCTTAAATTCGGGGATTAACTGCGGTGCGCGGCGAGACTGCCGCACCGTGGGCCGAGGCAGGGGCGTGGGACACGAGGGCAGAGAATTACTCGCAAGACGACAGAAAGCATCACACAACTGGGGAGGATACTCGGCCTCGGAAGCTGTAGCGAAGGTCCAGCGGCCTGCTGCACGAGCTACTGCAAAGGGCAAGTGAGCATGCTTTTTATCGCACTCACAAGCCAGTGGGCACAAGGCTTGCATCGAGGTGAGCAGTCGAGAAACCTTATCCCTAGCGCCCCCAAGCATGCATTGGGCGTAATCGACAGTGTGAAGGTCGTTGAAGAAGGAGGCTAAGGCCGGGGATTTGAGCTGGCGAGTGAAGTGGGCCAGCACAGACCACATCCAGCTCCTGACCGGATTCTCGATGGAGACATGCCAGCCTCGTTCATGGCACAATGCAAGCAGCCTAATCGTGAACTCTGAAAGAAGATTAGCTGAAGTCACGCGGGCCTGATCGCTGGGGCAGAGATCCGGCAGGCCAAGCACGTGTTGACTGGAACGCAAAGGTTGTGGCTGAGGCGCCCCAGCCGCCAAGAGGTGTGCTGGCAAAGCGCGCTCCCGTGCCCGGGAGCCAGTGCCGCAAGGCAGCGCAATGTGCACCAGAAACACGGGTGAGCACAGGAGACGCTTGACAAGCGCGTCCTGACAATGCCGAATTGTCAGATCGAGAGTCCATACCTGATGCAGAGGCGAATGCTTGTTGCGGGGCCCGTCGACGGCGAGCACCTGAAAACCTGCGGCGGCAAAGGTAGAAGACAGCCTGGCACACCCAGCGAAAACCTCGACGAACAGAGGAGTCGGCTGACCCCGGCTGGCAGCAGATGCAGGAGGGGCGGGCGGGAAAGCAGGTGTGGCACCGGCGGTCGAGGCATCTAAGGATTGTGCGTCACATGGTGCAGGCGAGACTGAGGGCTCGCTCGGATTACGGGGCGAAGGTGAAGGCAGCGGCAGCTGTGGGGGGGGCGGCAAAATGCCGACTATTGATGGCACTTGCTGTGCAGCAGCTGCGGCGGACTGGGCCGCATCTGGGTCCGGCTCCCAGTCGAAGTCGGATTGCAAGTGCATATTGGTAAAACCTGGAACGGGCAGCCTGAAGCCGAGACTGCACAAGAAGCTGCGTTCCTTGGCAGGCAGGTCGCCTACACCACGAGTGCTGAAAGCAACCAACACGGTGCGGTGGCCGCTCCACTGACACACGTCATGCTCGCATGACCTGGCATCGAAGTAAATTGGGCCCCCTTCGAAGGAAAGGACCCTTGGTGACGGCGCGTCAAGTGGATAGCAGCGAACCTGGCCTCCTGAAAATTGCGTAAGCGGGTAAACAAAATTAAGTGAATTCTGAAGGTTGTTGGCGTCTCTGTGACGGCCTACGGGAAGTTCCTCGAAAATGGCAATGGTGCTGTACATAAACTCCGGGTGTGCTTCGGCGTTGACAAACTCACACAGAATCCTTGTGAACTCGGGATGCAAACGGCTATTTGCCCTCAACCCGACTAAGGACCCCCTAACGAAAGAGCCTGTTGTGAAGCAGCGGCCTTCGGCGGCCTGCTTGCCCTCTGGGAGCGGGTCACCTGGGACACTGTGGAAAATTGAAAGAATCCGTTGCACGGCATCGTTATGCCTGCAAGCCGAAGAACTGGAGTTCTCTGAAGCCTCGATCGGAAAACAGGGACCGCAGAAATCCCCCGTCTGCAACGGCGGGCCCTCGCACTCGGCTGGCAGCGTCACTCGCGAGGGCGGTGAGGTCAAAGGCAATCAGGCGCCGCCCTTGGTGCACGCGGTGTAAGAGTGGGGCTTGAAGCACTTCCAGCAGATGTGTCTGCCACGGCGGCAACGCTTGCCGTCCTTAGCAAATTTGCAACCATCCTTGTTATATGGGAAACAAATCGGAACACCTTCGGAATCCTTGCTGGAACAGCCATCGGGCAACACATAGGCAGCAGGAGGCGGCGGCACCTCTGAACCCTGATTCTGCTTGCCGCCGGTCTTGCCCTTCCCATCCTTACCTTTGCCTGTCTTACCTTTCTTGCCTCTGCCTTTGCCTCCCGGAACCCAGGTTTCGTAAGGCTCAACCCTGTACGGAGTTGCAGAAGGCGCGGCTCCGGGGATCACACAGAACTGCACCTGGGGGTGAGCTTTAAGGGCAAGAAGCTGGAGCTCCATCGGCTTGGAGCCGTCAGGCCGCACGCTAAGGGCACCTCTGGTTTCTTCTGCAATTTTGAGGAAAAGAACCTTGTCAGCCTCCTTGACTTGGCCCATGGTGATGCACATGCGACCCGGCACTGGTGGGCGTGAGAGAAGAGAGAACATCTCTTCGTGGTAGGCTTCCATGACTGAATAGGAGCAGAGTTGCGCAAGATCGTAACACAAGGATCTGCGCTGGAGCGCCTGACGCACCTGCAACTCGCCAGTCAAAGAACACTGGGCATCCTGAAACTTCTTGTTCAAGCGCAGGTTTCCACCATTGTCAAAGCTGATGGATAAGTCGGATTTGCTCGAAACGATCTCTTGTGCCCTGCTGGTGTATTTCTCCCAAGGAAGCCAGATGAGCTGTTGGTCGGTGCCTTGCTGAAACACGAGATCTGTGACGCGATAGCTCGGCTCGCTGTCACTGGAGAAGTGCACCCCGTTGAGGCGCTTGCGTTGTTCCTCGATTCGCGTAGTCCTCTCAGCGACAGCCAAGCGGATTGGTTCTGCTGAGTCGTTCCTTTCCACCTTCTGTTTGAGCTCTCCCATTGCCGTGGTAGAGGCCTCGTACCACAGCCGCCTTGTCACGAAGAGCTCCTTCTGCGTGAGATCACGCTTCACGACTGTCTTGAGGGCATCGATCAGAGGCTTCTCGTCTGAGTGGCCCACCTGGAAAGGTGAGATAAAGGCTAGCGTGCCCATCGTTGTGACTCCTCCGTCTTCCAGCAGCTTGAGAAACTCAGCAGTCAAACCTATCTCAAGTGCACGTGCATGAAATGCAGCAGCGGAGTCCAAGGTGGAATTCATGGCTCCTAAGCGGGCTTGAGGCCAAAGTTGCAGCACTCACGAAGAAAATTCTCAGGCAGGCACTCTCACACGAAGGATGCGGAAAACACTGCACAGCCTGAAGGCCCGACGGCAGTACACTGTTGAAGTACCAACCCGGGCACAGCCGAAGCTCAACGGCCCATTCTCAAGTCGACAACCCCTTCAGGAAGACAAACAGCTCGAAAGGAAGCGGGAATCATTGCACAGCCAGATGGCTCAACGGCAGTACACTGTTGACGCACCACAACCCGGGCACAGCCGAAGCTCAACGGCCCATTCTCAAGTCGACATCCCAGCGGAAACAACACCTTGGTGAGGAAAAGACTGCTCAGCCATAGGGCTCAACGGCAGCCTGAACCGACCCTTGAAGCCAGGGCACAGCCGCAGCTCAACGGCCCCAGCTTGAGTTGATCGACGGCAACCCTGTAAAGGTAGAGGTACAGCTGTAGCTCAACGACCTCACCCTGAAAAGCGGAAGCTCGGGCAGATATTTCACGCCGCCATTGAAGCCTTAGCGCACTGTCCACATACAGGCAGGTCGCTCAAAGGGATATCCGGGTCGAGCCTGCTATAATTTGCCGAATCATTGCGGCCACACAAAAATCGGGCCCCACTCAAAATGTGCACGACTCTGGAATGGACATGCATCTTACAGTCCTTGGCAGCATCAAGCTCTGCCGCCGTCATGGTCCTGCCCAAAGTCAAACCTGACGCCTCCTTCTGAAGATCGGCTTCGGCTATGTCCTCATCTTCGGCTTCAGATTCCAACATATCTGGAGCATCAGCGCAAACGCGCTCGAGGAGGGCCTCGGAACCATCTGAATTCTTGATGAGCTGAGCCAGGCGCCACACCCTGGACTCGTCAGGCTTGAGCGCTCCTTTCCGTATGAGCACTATCAAGTCGTGCACGACCTTCATGAGACGAGTGAGTTCGTCTCGGGCATAAGTCAAGGGAGACATCACAGCTGGGTCCACGTGATGCCCTAGGAGGCGGCGGTCGGACAGAGGGACGGTCGTGCTTTTCGCAGCCCAGGATAAAACCGTGCACTTCAAGCTGTGAGTACCAATGCCATCGATCTTCTGACCGGCCGCGGTCAGGAATTCTTTAAGGTAGCAGCATGCTTCCCCGGTGCTCATCGGCCTGTCCAGCCAACAGTTGGCGCTCTCAGACCATGCAGGGAGAGCCGGATGCAAACCCAGAGAAGAGTCCTCCCTAGCCTTCATCCACAAGTCAGCCCAGTTGCTGTCAGCAAAGAATTTTCCCAGCGAACACATGGGCAACAGCTGAGACTTGCGCGATGCCACGGGTGCGGTTTTCCAGTGGGAGCTCTCGGCTTCAACCAAGCACAGGCCCTGGTGGGAGGACACATTAAGGCTTCCCAGCCAAAGCGAATCGCCGAACCTGGCACTAGCACCGAGGCAAAACAACAGGTGCCCAGCAATGACTTTCCAATGGCAGTACGGCGCATGAATCACCACGTACTCTAAGGCCTTGACCTGTTTCACAGTTAAAGGGATTGCCTGCTGCAAGCGACGCTTGCCTTGGTACATCTTGAGAGCCAAGCCCTTCACACGAGAAGAAACGGCTCGCAGCGCTGCCTGATCCTTAAATTGCAAGGTTCCCGCCGCAAAATTCCAGGCCTGGAGAAAAGAAGATCCCGAGGTAGGCCGCGCATTCGCTTCGAGCTCCTGTAAGTACAGATACAGGATCCTTTCTCCGGCGGTGAAAGGATTGCCATACCCTGAATCAAGGGTCCACTTGGCGAAAGACCACAAAGCGGAGGCCCTCTTCACTAGGGTGGAAGTGGCTTTCCCACTGAAAACATCACCGAAAGTTCTTGCAATTTGTTGGTCTTCCTTGAGCAAGGAAGCTTCGGCCAAAAGAATGCATCCTAGCTCGGTGACACCAGGCTCGAGCATGACGAGAACCCTGAACTTACGAAGAGCCTCCCACCTGGCGGAGTCCGAGGTTTTCATCATGGCGACAATTTGGAGGCGTTTCTTTGCAAAGTCAGGCACTTGCTTCAGCGCAGGCACAGCACTCGGGGCGCCGGATTGCCGCACGGGTTCATGATCGTAGGGCATCGGAATGCGGGGACGCTTGCTAGGATGACCAAAGACCCAGGCAAAGGGCCCCCTCTCCCAAGGGAGGAGAATCACTGAAGCCCTATTATCCTTAAGCGTCTCATTCCAAGAGAAATTCCTGATGAGCACTGCTCTTGCATCCAAAGCCGGGAAATCCTCTTCGGCTTTAGCCAACTTGCTGAAGAAGGTGTCGGGAGACTGCAAAAACGATGCAGTCTGGTCCTGCGAGGCGGCAGCACCTGAAGATCCGGCTGGACCTCCCAAACTCCCCTGTGAAGAAGAGGCCAAGGCCGGATTACCTGACGTAACCATCTATCTTAACAAGCCCACCTATGGCACACACGGCCTCTCAAGCAGACTGCTCTCGCGGTTCAAGAAAGGCCCTGCAGGCGTTGCGCAAGTCCTGGATGAGCCTCTCGATCCACGAGAGGCGTTGGTGATGCCCCGTCTGGTTCACCCAGGCGCGCGCAAGGGACTCCTCCAAAGTCTGTAGATTCTGTAGATCGGACCTGAGTGCTTGCACCTGAAGCCTCAGGGAGTTGACCTCCAATTGGAGATCGTGAATATGCTGACTGTGAAGCTCGCGAGTGCTAGTGGAGCTGTCCTCGGATCGATGAGACGACCCTTCGGCGAGCGCGTCGCCAAAGTCCATCTGACGCCCCGCACTTATAGCGGGGAGTCGTGACAGCCTAAAGCCAGCACTTTAGGGAGCCTGAGACCTGCTAGGACGCCGTTACAAGCCCCTAGAGGAGTCCCAAAACGTTCAATGTTGCAGCTGTCTCCGGAGCCACAACTGCCGGCTTGAATCAATCATCAGAAGTTGGATACACCGACAGATGCACGAGACAGTCAAACTTCCATCAAATTAAAAGCAGTTCAAATACCTAAAAAGGACGCCGACTACTTTTCCAAAATGAATCATTCGCTCCTCGAGATCGCCAACTCACACAGCATGACAGCTCAACGTGAGGAAGAAAGTCAATGCCTCACAACATGCAAAATGTTCGACGTGAGAGCACAAAAGTACTTTGGCAGTTTTGCGTCGCTGTGTTAGCGACTATAAATCAAAGACAACATGATCACATTCGTGAAATAGTCGTACTGCTAAGTAAACCGTCAGCTCGCAGCAGCGAGCTGCAGAACCTTGTACCGCTCGGTACTGCAAAGCAAATCGAGGCTCGCAGCAGCAACAGCCGAACCTTGTACCGCATGGTACTGCTAAGTAAACCGTCAGCTCGCAGCAGCGAGCTGCAGAACCTTGTACCGCTCGGTACTGCTAAGTAAACCGTCAGCTCGCAGCAGCGAGCTGCAGAACCTTGTACCGCATGGTACTGCTAAGCAAATCGTCAGCTCGCAGCAGCGAGCTGCAGAACCTTGTACCGCTCGGTACTGCAAAGCAAATCGAGGCTCGCAGCAGCAACAGCCGAACCTTGTACCGCATGGTACTGCTAAGTAAACCGTCAGCTCGCAGCAGCGAGCTGCAGAACCTTGTACCGCTCGGTACTGCAAAGCAAATCGAAGCTCGCAGCAGCAAGCTGCAGAACCTTGTACCGCATGGTACTGCTAAGTAAACCGTCAGCTCGCAGCAGCGAGCTGCAGAACCTTGTACCGCTCGGTACTGCAAAGCAAATCGAGGCTCGCAGCAGCAACAGCCGAACCTTGTACCGCTTGGTACTGCTAAGCAAATCGTCAGCACGAAGCAGCAAGCGCTCAGCAAATCGCCGGCTCGCAGCAGCGAGCTGCAGAACCTTGTACCGCTCGGTACTGCAAAGCAAATCGAGGCTCGCAGCAGCAACAGCCGAACCTTGTACCGCATGGTACTGCTAAGTAAACCGTCAGCTTGCAGCAGCGAGCTGCAGAACCTTGTACCGCTCGGTACTGCAAAGCAAATCGAAGCTCGCAGCAGCAAGCTGCAGAACCTTGTACCGCATGGTACTGCTAAGTAAACCGTCAGCTCGCAGCAGCGAGCTGCAGAACCTTGTACCGCTCGGTACTGCAAAGCAAATCGAGGCTCGCAGCAGCAACAGCCGAACCTTGTACCGCTTGGTACTGCTAAGCAAATCGTCACCACGAAGCAGCAAGCGCTCAGCAAATCGCCGGCTCGCAGCAGCAAGCTGCAGAACCTTGTACCGCCTGAGGAGGCTAAGCAAATCGTCAGCTGACAGCAGCAAGCGGCCAAAACCTTGTACCGCTCGGTACTGTTAAGCAAGACGCCAGCTCGCAGCAGCAGGCTACAGAAGCTTGTATTGTACCTCTTGGTACTGCTAAGCTAAGCAAATTGTCAACTTGCGGGAGCAGGATGATAATTGCGGCAGCAAGCTGCAGAAGCTTGCGCCTCTTGGTACTGCTAAGCAGATTGCCAACTCGCGCCGACGAGATTAACCGTTAACCTGCTGATCGGCCCCACCGACACGCCTGCTTCATGCGGGACAGCCCTTGCCTTTGTTGGACCGCTCGGCACTACCGTGAGGCAACCTGCTAACGTCAGCTGGCAAGCTGTGCAGAGCCTGCTGGTCAAATCGACCCACCCGCGTAGCCTGCGGACGGCTCAGTCCAGCTTCGCTGCTGCCCAAACTCCGATGGCGTTACAGACCTTCGGAAACATCGCACTGGAACAGCATTAGAGAAGGATGGTGCCTCCGAACATGTTCTGCAGATGCGAACGCGTAGCTTCGACAGATTTGACAAGCCGCGCAGTAGCACATGTGAGTTGCAGATCGGTCGGCGCAACCGCACTTTCACCCAAAGCAAAACCGTCAGCATCCATCGTGAAGGGAGTTCTGTGTCAAGCTAGTCTCACCAGCTCGGCAGCACCAGAGAAAGCATGCTGAGATCTGTTCTAGAAACTTTGGGAGAAACATAACCTTCATCAGCGCGCTCGGGATGGCTCGAAGCTCGAACCACGTTCATGGCACTTGCACTGTCAACTTCCCTCAACAAACAACAAAGCTACTTCCGTCGCGGTCATCAGCAAGTGTGCAGCCCACTGCCTTCGGAAGGCCTGCACGGCGACGTGGACCTGATCCTCTGGCCAGGAGGCCTAAAGCAGCTTCGGTCGCAACAGCTCAAGAGGAACACACCCTCGCAGGCTTGGCGCTGAAAGCAACCCGGTGTGTGTGAAAGAAAACCCGCCTTCGGGCACAGAAAACCGCTGCCGCGAGGGAGGACAAAGATTGCACTGCGTAAGGCATGTCGCCAGCAAGGACTGGAACGTCCTCACTCAGTGCCGCTGCAAGGCTTCGGTGGGGTCAGCCCACCACAAATGAAAATTGCCTTTGCCTCTCGCCTAACAACTCAGAGCTACACGCTGCGAGGACATACCGAGTGCACCGGCTGCTGCTTCAGTCTGGCACGGCATGGGCCGCGAGCGGGCACGCAAGATGCTGGGCTGGCACAGGGAGAAGATACGAAGTCTCGTAGCTGTTCGAAAGCTTACCAGATTTGGGTCGCAAAAAAATCTTTTTTTTTGCGTTCATCTGCAAAGCGACTGCCTGGCGTGTGGGCAGTTCCAATGAGTGGCGATTGCACGTGGAGTACATGTAATATCCACAGCATGCGCAGCACGAGCGACCGGCGGTGAAGAAGTCAAAGCAACTGCATCCTGACCCAGGTCGCGCTCTGGCCGGCTGCGTCACAAAGAAATGCGCATGCGGACCCGGCTCTGCAAGATTTGCACGTCTGCCGAAGTGGCAAGGCTTTGCTGCCGCGATTCCCGGCGCACATGCCGCCGCATAGCTGGGATCCACGGCCAACTGCTGCTAGCAGAGGCCTAGCGCTGCGCCGTGCACCTGCTTGGATTATATTGCGTTGTAAAACCTCCGCTGCGCCTCCGTGAGACTTGGCTTCAATACTCAAATGCCTGAAATGCGCACCGGGCGGGTTCGAATGGGCATTTAGACCGGTGTAACCGATGCAAGCTGCCAGCATCGAGGATGTGGTTCTGGTGGAGCACCGAAGAATCTCGCGCCTCCATAGTACAGACCTCATCACCACGGTAAGAGAGACAGCCAAACCTTTCGGAAACAAAAGCCTAGGGAGCTATACCTCTGCAACGATCCGGCATTGAATGAATGAGCCTACGTACACTGTCTGATGCATTGCACGCGGCTCGCAACACATAAATACCGGCCCCATCCTCTCACTCCGCCAATCAGGCTGCAGCTTTGCGCAAGGCTGGCGCAAAAGCTATCAAGACCGTGAGGGAATGGAGCCAGAGACATTCCTGCAGAAACATGCACAAGCGGCGGTGGAAGCAGAGCTGCGCAGCCACGGCTCATACAGCCATGACATCACGGAAGTGCAGGCAAGAGAATGGCACAGCAGCGGAGGGTGCAAAAGTCCCGACCTTCAAAGAGACGGCAGGAGCCGTGAATTGCACATCCCTCCAAGTGGAGCCACGTAGAGTTGGCAGGTCTGGAAGCTGAAAGGGCTGCCGCGCCAGTCTAAGCGACGGCCGACTGAAAAAGCCACGCCGAGCACGCAAGGCGGAAGCAACAGGCTGGTGCAAAAGACATTTCATCATGCTACGGCCACCACCTGCGCATGCGACATCGGTTCCGGGTGGCTGGGAGTGAAGCAGCGCACATCGGAAGCACAGTGGCCGCAGGTGGAGCCGGACCAACTGTGTTGGGTGCCACGCCGGAACATGTGTTTAGCATGGCCCTGCGGGAGCGTGGACTTGCGGATAACCTAATGACCTCATGCCACCAAATTCCAAAGTCTCAGGCTTCTTAAGGCGCCGGCAATTGTCAACATCTCTAGTCGGTCACACAGCAAATCTCGGGAGGCGGCCTGTCAAAAAAGAGCACCCGGGCATCTCAGCATGCAACACCGACGCGGGATGCGCAGAGACATCGCAGAAAGGCAGCATGGTGGAGACGCAGCCCCGGCAGGGAGGATCACAGCAACGCACCCCTCTGCAAGAAGCTGTGCTACTCCTCATGCTCTCCCGCACTGAAATCTAGAACACGCCAGAATGGGCGACGGCATGTTGGGTGCTGAAGATTTCCGGGCAAGCTTAAAGGGTCATAGGCCATCCCCTTGATCTGCACGGGCAAAGGCATGAAAGGCACATGACAGAGATCCGCTTTTAGTCTCGCAAGCCTTGTAAGCCACGTAACTAACTTTACCAAATTCCGAGTCCTATGAACCGCACACGCACCTTCCAGATCGCCCTTTGCCTCCTGTGCACTCACCTTCCTTGCGCCCGCGGTCTAAGATCTCCGGCCAAACCCACTACGAGCGCTAGCTAGAAGTTCTTTGGGCGGGGGCTCGCAACATCCAACACGATGGCCCTCACGTGAAAGGAAACAGTAAACCGTCTCCATCACACGGCTGCACAAAAAACCGCAAAATCGTGAGCAGAGGCTTAAACCGGCTGTTCGAAGCTCAGGTTGTCCTCATCTTACCACAGATTCAGCTTGGGAGTGACGGCGAAAGCACAGACCTGCGGACGCTGTACCTACGCAGGCTCAGGCGGATTTGCATAGGCGGCATAGGCAACACAACTTTTACACCATGAGGCACAGTTCACACAAGTTGCGTTGCATCGCATAACGGTATGACACACAAGCACGCAGAGCTACCGGTTCCGGTAGCTTTTCAGAGCTGATGCGCGCAAACCAGCACATGTTGAGTTGCACGGTGGAGCTG